CCTCATCCCACTCCCTCAGCCCGGTAAGCGCTGCCCCTCAACATAGCCCTGACCCTCAGCCCGCTCCCTCAGAGCCTGGAATCTACAAAAAGCGGCTGCCCCTTACGCGTCCACCTGTGGATCTTCTCTAAATTCACTACAGCTACTTGTGTGTTTTAGGGCTTGTGCTTGAAATTGTGCCAGGCACTGGGGCTGCCAATGTTACGAGCAACTGCCATAAAATCAAGTGAAACTTGGGTGTGTTGGCAGCATTAGTTTGCTTTGTTTATCTAATTTCCATACAGCAAATTTGGAGTAATCAATACGTTGCTTCCTGGTAAGATTCAGCAAAGAAATGAAAAGGAGTTTAGCTGACACATCAACTCGCAGCACAGCAGGTATCAACCCTTCTTCTGTGCTTTAGTGTTCACGCCTCATTATGCTTTTATATATATGTAATACATATATACATATATACATATATGTAGCATTCATACAGGATATTCAGTGTTTAGCCCTAAATCCCCATTTCCTGAGTGCACTTGCATGGATTACTGTTTATTCCAGCACAGGGCAAGATTTTGGATGGATTCAGGGAACTGGTCATTAGGGGAAAGGTTTCATTCATGGGACTTAGGGGCAGGACAGAGGGCTGAGAATATAAATTCTGTCAGGAAATGTTCTGTTACATATTTATGAAATGTAATTCCTATGTGTAATGTACAATAAGTAACTTTATTTACATGCTTTAAGTGTGGATTGTGTATCCTTTTGCTATTAATATAGTATTACTTTCATTTTAGGTTGTCTGCCTGTACCACTGTTCAATCAGAAAAAAAGAACTAGACAGCCCCTGACTTCAAATCCGCTTAAAAATGAGCAAGGTACAGGTTCTGGCACTCGTAGCTATGACTTCTCTCCCACATCATTCGGTAAATAAGATATATTTAATTTTTTTACTGCCTCTAAATCCAAAGAAATCTTAACTTCCTGACTGTGTTCTATGAATTCCGACATTGTTTTTATGAAGAACTATATGCATACTTTATATCTATTTCTGAAAAGTTCATAATGTAAAAATTGTCCTCCAGGAAATTTCTTTCTCCTCGATACAATTGAGCTTTTTATACTTTGTGCCTAGAGGGAATTTGACTCTTTGTGTGATGGAGAATGAAGTAGCACTGGCATTTAAATAGAGTCTCTTGAAACTGACCTTTTGTTTTCRGTTAATTTCAATCAACATTCAAGTCCTGTGTTACAAGAAGAAACATTTGTAAGATGTCTTTCTTGTAGTTCAGAAAGGAACTTCTGTTCTTCTAATTGGGCTTGGAAAGAACAGTGCAGAATTCTGCCTATAGTGCTTTCATTAGGTTTTACTTGTAATAAAGTTTAAAAGATTTCTTATAATAAAGTCTCTGTTGCTAGTAAGTGTAATGTTGTAACTGAACCATTGTCTGGAGAAGCAGCTTACTTGTTAGAAGTTGTCTTATAATTAAAAATATCAAAGGATCACATTCTCTTCTTTTCTTTTTTCTTTCTCCTTTCTGTATGARCCTTTTTGTGGGACATAAAGCAGAGAAGGAGCCCTGCACAGACCTATTACCTTTTAGTCTTTTCTGTTTGTATCCAYATTCAATTCTTTGTCTCTTGAAAATTAGGCTGGGGAGCTGCAAACTCAGAAGTGGATGAACTGCAGAAAGCAGCAAACAGTGGGTATGTAAAAAGCAGGTTATTTGTTGCTTTTTGATTTTTATCTGGATACTAATTGTTTCACAAACAATCCATGTGTGTCTTACAATAAAGCTGCTGCTGTGTCACTGATACTTTAAACTTATCTTTGAAAGCCAAACAGAACATCCGATGGCTCCTTCCCTTATGAAACCACCAAATGCATCAAAGTTTAATTTGCCAAATGCTGGAAGAAACTTGGCTGCCTGCAGGTTGGTGAAGTCTTTAATGTCTATTATCCTTCCTTTTTGTTCTTATGTGAAAATGCATCTTACATTTTCCCATATTCCTGCAGCATTCAGAGAAAACCCTTTCATATCACTCTCAGAGGAAACCTTGCTTATTTTGTTTTAGAATTACAAAAACATGTGAGTTTTGGGTCAGGAAAGATCCCTTACACAGGGCAGGACAATAACTAAGCAAGGTTTTTTTTGAAGTCAGATGGATTTATGCACAGGAGTAATCACTGCCCTGCATATGGATAAATTTGGTGTATACCCAAGTGCTTTGAGTCTRGATGTATATAAAGCTAAAACAACAATACATGGATTGCTTTTATATACTTTAATTACAGATCTGATTATTCAGAAGAGATCTTGTGATAGTGAATTGTGTCTGATAYTGTATTGCAGGAACAGAAATGAGTACACTCCTTTAAGTAACACTGCAAATTCAAGATCTGATAATGGAACTACTCGAAAGTTTGAGAACTTTTCAAGCAGTTTGAAAACTGTCCAGCAACAAAAAAMCCCTGRCAATCKTAACYCATCTCAGTCCATCAGAAYAGAAACCAGCCAAACATACACATCCAAAGGACAGTGGGCAGGAAAACCCAACACTGTGTCAAGAAGTCTGCAGGATCATAGTCCAGCATATAAATTTAACAACAATATTCAGCAAAATAAAACAAATGAGTACCAGTTTGACTGTGTCCCAGAAGACAAAAGTCAGGTAAAACTTATGGGGAGAGTTAATAAGAAAKACACAGTGAAGCAAGTAGTAAAGAAAGAAAATGGATGGAAATTAGGTTTTTCATCAGCCCAAGCTGTCTTGGTAAACCCTGAAGTTTCTGAGAATTTTGAATTGGGATTTTTTGCTATAATTACCTACAATCCTCAGGATGTTCATATAAACTGGCAGTGAGTTATTTTTATGTTCTGAACAGATAATCTAATTGTAGTGTAAATATTGCCTATTTAACATGATGTACAAATGCCTATATGCCCTTAAAATTGCAAGTGAGTATGCCTAACTTAAGCTTTTGTCTTTCTCTGAAAGGAAATTTCATCATCTCAAGTGAAAACTAAAATAAAAAAGAATTCTTTGCGAATCCTGWCTGCAGTCATTCAAAGTGTGAAGCACTGGAGCCAATATACTTACAAAACTGCACTGCTATTTGAAGTTTTAGGTAAGCATAGCAGATTATAATAATATAATCTGGCAGTAATGGTAGGGCAACAAGAAAGAATTTTATTAATTGTGGGCATGGTAAATGAAATACTTAAACTCCCAAAATACTGGCATGAACACCATCTAGGTTTTTTTCCATTCAGCTTTCAAAGGTGACTGAAACAGGTATAAATTTAATAATTCAGTCATCCTCCAACATATAAGTTTTTCCATCCTGTTTCTTTCCTTCTAACACATTAGAATGTGTTAGAATAAGTTTTCCTGTTTAACAGGAATCTTCTGTACAGCTTTACAATAATTTTAATATAGTTAATTTAGGAATAACTAATTCATGYTTAATGATACAGGCACACTGGATTCTGCAGTCACACCTGGAAGATATGGGGCAAAGAACTTTCTTCTGAGAGATGGAAAGGAGACCTTGCCTTGCGTGTTTTATGAAATTGTGAGTATTTTGTGTCCACACATAACACAGACAGCACTAGCTCCAATCCTTTTTGTGAATACAATAATGTTCTGATAGAACAGAAATTTACTGTGTAAAAGACAAGGTGGATGTTTATACCAAATTGTCCAAATTAGGGAATAGTCACTCTTTAGGCATTCTCAGACTTCTGTTTCAACAAAACAGGTGAGACTTTGAGTTTAGCTTTTAAGTAGTTRACAATAGCAACAAAGCTGATGTCAATGCCTTCTGTTTGATGTAGTCCTCAGAAACCAGCCATGTAGAAAGCTTTTATGTTAGGTGATGTAATTGTTTTGTGTTTATTATGCTTTGATGAAGGACCGTGAGCTTCCACGACTAATTAGAGGTCGAGTGCACAGGTGCATGGGAAATTATGATGCAAAAAGGAACATTTTCAAGTGCGTCTCTGTAAGACCAGCAACTGCTCAAGAACAGAACACTTTCCAAGACTTTGTTAAAATTGCAGATGTTGAGATGACAACATATGTAAAAACTATGAATGAAATGTAAAAGTCAGAATGGTTRTCCAAACCCTAATTTTAACTAATTGTTATCCATAAAGGCTGGATATRTTAAAGCGTTTACCAAAACTACCAGTGAAAATCTGGTTAAATAGTTGAAAATATCAGTGTGCTGTGTTATCCAACAAATGTGTAGTATTCATTGGGTTCCCATTTATGTGTTATCTGTTCATGTTTTCTTAAAAAAACAAATAATCAGTATAATACCTGTATAAAATAGCAACAGACCCTGAAGCTGTAGGAAGATTTCCAAGACACAAATGAAGTAGAAAAGAAAGAATTATTTGAACACAGAACTTCCTTGCCTTTGCCAAAGAAAAATCTTTCATGAGGGATGGACCATGTACATGTTTATGTACATTTGCCTTCTAACATTAACTTCATAGGTTATTCCTGCTGTTTCTTTTTCCTTTTCCCCTACTCCAGAAGCTTTGTAGCGGATCTCTTGGGAATTGCAAAACAAAAGAGTTGTCAAGAAAATAGCGAACAGTTTGGGGGTTTTTTTTATTATTTTATTATACAGTGTTGGCAATTGGAAATTTCACATTTAAAATAATTGAAATATTGTATCCAACAAGTCAAATACAGAAAACAGTTAATATTCTAAAAAGGAGCCAGCTAGTCAACGCAGAAACACATTAATGGAAAATACAGCTTTTAGTTACACTTAAAAAATTATATATTTAGAATAAAACTTGAACCTGGTCCAGCAAATTGTAACAGGARAACGCTTTTACACAGTTAAACGCGCAGACAGTCTTTCTTTAAAAAAGTGATCTGTCAGTGTGAGCACAGGTATTGTCAGCAACAGCCCCCTAATGTTCCAGTCTAAAGGATGTGCTTTWCTAACTGCTGGAAGGATCACTGGCATTATCAGCTCTACCTTCAGTGTGAAGGGGCTTCAGAGCATGGATACTTCAAGGAGAGTTTTGTCAATCCAGTTGTAGAGGTCATGTACACGTTTGATTCCCTTTAAATATTACAAAATGTTAAAGGAAGTTTCAAGTGGGAACATTAGCTTGATGTACAAAAGGTGCAGAATATTGCAGGGTGCAGAGGTTGATGGTTTGCACAACAGAAGTKGAGCTTTAAGAAGTAAAGGATTTGGTACAGCAGTGTTGTAAATTGTAAGACTCTGCTGTAAAAGTAATTTAAGACTGATTCCAGTTAAATGATTGATGCTTCCAGTTCTGCACATGTGAAACTTATATTAATAAGTAATGACACTAATAGGTTGTTTATCTACTTGGTGTGTTATGACTGTTAATAAAAATCTAAAATAATTTTACTTTTCAGGAAGTGTTTAGATCTTTGCAAAAAAAGGTTTCTACTTGACACTAACAAATCACTTTTTCTAGTGAAACATTAAGTGAACAGTCGTAAACATTACACAAAACAGAAAAAMCCCTACTCAATACAGTTTATACACACTACTCAACATTTTTCAGTTGTTGGGTGATTTTTTTTCTTGACCATATTGATCCTGTCTTGTATAATGGTTCTAGTGTAAAGGCACAGGTTGGTTAGGAAAGAAAAGCCTGCATCTCTGTCTCTCTGCTTTGTGGTGATTTTTTACTTTTTGCATGTCGTTTGTTATTCCTCACTTTTCTGACTCTTACATGAAAATTTTCAATCTCAGCCATTYATTAAAAAAGTGTAAGAAATTACTGAAAAGCACATAGCTATACAGAAGTGACTGAAATTTAATTCCTCTTACTTTATTTGGAAGATTCAATTTCTCAGCCTCTGTGAGCCAAAGTGCAGAACACGTGCTCTCTTTCTCAGTGTACTTCATTCTGCATTGGAATCTGTATTTTCAAAGRTTGGTGATGGGACCTGCTAAGTTTATGTGCAGAATTTGCTTTTAGAGTGCATGGAAATGTAACAACAGGACAATTATTTTGGAAAACAATGCCACATTCCATTGAAGTTTAGAAGGGTGAGGAATGTAAACAAGACTGMAGAAGTCTTTGATGTATATTAAAATAACACAGTGATTGTTCTGTTTGCATTTTCTTATACATCCTCAACATGTCTCTGTCTGTCCCTTCATGTATACCTTCCATTAAAAAAATAAAAAGTTCAGGAATCAGTTGGACTCAGCTAAGTGAAGAATAATAAATTTGATCAGCTGGTTTGTGCCAAAATACAAAACTAAGAAGTACAGCTCTGAATTAAATATATCTATGCGATTTTTATTTTTAAATAAATAATAGAAAATAAAAGATGAGAATACAATTAAAGTTAAATTTTTATTTAAAATGAGAAAACACAACAGTGGAGTGAGATTAGAACCCAATGTTTCTTTTGCTTAAGGCAATCAAGTGCACTTATTTCAATGCTTGATAGTAATGAATTCAGTGCTATTGTGGAAATCAGACCTCACAAAATTCCCATACAGACTAATGAAATATGGCCATTTGCTAGTTTTGTCACAGCATCAGATTTTTACTAGTCATGTTCAATAGCATTTCAGTTCACTTTTTCTTTTTTTTTACAAAATGGACTCTTAATTGCAATGGGAATACTGGAATTAGTTCATTCTGGCTTGTATTATCATTACAGTTAAGGGCCATTGGGCACAGACATTTTTGTAAACAGAATTTTTTCTTTTCGGCCCTCAACAACCAAATCCAAAATCTACAGTTGTAACAGTTCAAAACATTTTGTCAAAGTCCACCTAAAATTATAATTTAAAAAATACTGAAAAGAAATTCTTAGGATTTTTTGTCTGTTGTTAAACTATTAAATCATCATGAAGCCTTTGGAACTAGTTAGGTCTCTCAGAAAAAAAGAAATTCCAATTTTGCCCAAGATTTCATGAAGTTGTCTCTAAATCTTGGCAATTAGAGCAGTAGGAAAAACTGKGCCCACAACTTACAATATGCAGGCCCTGCTAATATATATAGATTAAAAAGAAACCTTTTTCTTGTGTACAATTCTTTTTGGCTATCAATCTTAATTTTAGGCTGTGGCTACCAGTAGGTGCTTTTTTTCACTAATCAAAATAATTGTAACAAAATATCATTATTGATTTTAAAGTTACTGGGTTCATAAAAGTTTTGATATTTAACAATATATCAAAAGTGAATTGAAGCTTTTAAGAGTCACAATTTTGAGACACAAAAGAAACTGGGAGGTAGACAGATGTTTTGAGGATAAACTGATTTTTTTTTTTGTCTAAGGCATTATGCCATTTATATGTTTAGAGCAGTGTAAAGGCTGCTTATTAATCCTATTTCAATTCCAGAGTGTTCGCCGCTCGTGCTTACGGAAGACTTTCAATGCACTTTTGGTCTTTGTCAATGTGACCTTCTCTTCCCCATCTCCTTTCCTCTCTTTAGCAATACAGCCARCTGGAAGTGCTTTAATGATTTCTGCCCATTACTGTAGACAGGAATGTTCTGTTCTYAAACAGTAATAAAATACTATAAAATAGTAGGTATTGGAGTTGGAGATATGTGCTCTTTTGGTGCATATTTTGCAAAGAATGGTAAAAAGACAGACAACATGACCCCAACAATTGCCAGCATGTACCCCCATCCAATCTGGCAGTCTCCTGCATARTAGATGTCTGAGTTCTCACAGAATCTCTTCACAGTAGCAGAGTTGAAACCAAAAGGGTAAACCAAAAGCCCAGAAGCCATTATGAACACTAGAGAGGAGAAAAAAAATCACACCAGTTATTATCAAACATTAATTCCTTTTGAAAAAAAAGTCCTTTTTTTAGAAAGGTAAATATATATATTATATTAAAATCAATGGAAAAAGTCATAGCTAATAAAACCCCCTTGTGATTGGCAGATTATCTTTCTTTTCATAATTACCTCTTATGGATAGCAGTGGTGTGACAAGGCAGCAAGTTGGGATTTTTTTCATGAGAGCTCTTGCCATTAAATAACTTCAGAAACGCTGTGATCCAAATTATGTGGCCATGTAAAAAGTAAGGTGGTTCAGACACAATGGAATCCAGAGGAGAAGAATTCCTAAGTCTGCAGATTCCAAACCAGCKTCACTTTCTTCTCAACAGCATTTTTGTGCTTGAGATAAACAATTACTTTGTTCTGCCAAATAGAAACTTCCAATGAAAGAGTTCAAATGTAGATTTTCGGATTCCTCTGATGAGGTTCTGATACTGTGAGACTCATAAATACAGACTCAAATTGYTTAAAACATTCTGCATTTGACCCATTGATGAAAACCAGCAGAATTTATCTTTTCATTTATTTTATGTCTCTTGACATTGGAAAGCCAGACTTGCCTCCTGCAATTACCCTGCATTATCCATTGGCTTTTGATAGAATTTCACAGATTTTAGTCTTTGAGGAATTTATATCAGACTCAAATATCAACTTCAGATATTGAATCAACAGCAGAACCACTTTTCCAACTTTGAAAATGAGACTGCCCAAGGTATAAATCGTAACTACAATAAAGATGCATTAAAATTCTCCAGGAACAACACTTGGAGCCTGATTCTGCCCACCTTGGAAGTGAAGAGGGGCTGAACCAGGCTGATGTGAGGGGTTACATCACCTCTTGTTTGAGAGAACACTGAGAAACCATATTTTCCCTTCTGTCCTTTCTGCTAATCAATTACCACTGTATTTAAAATCTTTACTGTATTTTAAAAGGCTTTATTTTATGTACTGAAAAAATACCATAGAGCAGTCCCTTTTCCTCTCTTCCCATTTTTCCAGAACAGTGTTTTGTTGAAATTCAGGGTAGTGATTCAAGAACAGCAGCAATCAGAATTAACAGTTATGTTTGAGCTGATAGATAATTCAKAACCAGCAAACATCTAATGAAACATTAAGATTGTAAAACAAACACTACATGCTATTTTCTGTGTCTGTAATTGCCTTTCAGGTAAGGCATGTGCATATTACTCCAATTATAATATTGGAGAGACTTAATCTTAAAAGTATCCACTAAAAAAGGGCAATCACTCATTAATCTTTTTTAATTAAAAACACTTTAATAAGCTTGAGGGCTAGATGAAGTAAAAAAATTCAACACACAGCCTGTAAAGTCCCTGAATAATTTGAATTAAACCTTTCCTTCTATTCCAAATGGAACTGCTGAGTTAATCCCTTGTAGAAAACAATAAGATGAAGAAAATGGAAATTTAAAAGGAGAGAAATTGGAGCAGCAGCAAACTTGSCAGTCTGTTTCCCTCTGGGCATCTCATGTATGGGTACAAAGAGAAGCTGCCTTCCAAGAAGTGAAACTCTCTGAAAGCCAAGAATTTCACCTGCTCCAACAGCCACCCTCTCTCCTTTAAACCTCAGGGAATAATTTTGCTGTAGTTGCTGTGGCCTTTGCCTCTTTCCAGGCACAAGGTGGGTGAAGATGCTGCAGAAGCCAGTAAGGGGAAAGTCCTTCCCAGCACAAGCAGCATCCTGAGCCAGGCTCACAATTCCTGATCCTCAGGCAGCTGCACCTGCTGAGGGTGCCCAGGGCAGGGAGAGCTCAAAGATCTGAGCTCTCAGGCACTGTGCTCCTGCATTTAGGACCTGACAGGAACCAAACATGCTGGAGCTGAATACAAACGAGTAAGTCATATTATGCAGGTGTCCCTTAACTGCACACTTGTGACACCACTAAAACAATATAAAATGAAAATACAGTAAAAATGAAGCTAAACCAGACACATCTCTTGCAACAGAACAAGGGCTAGTAGTTTCAAATTGAAACAGGGTGCATTCAAAGTAGATAGAAAGAAGAAATTTTTTATTTGACTGTGGTAAAACACCAGCACWAATTACTCTAACAGGTGGTGGATGCCCCATTCCTGGAAGCATCCAAGGTCAGGTTGGACAGGGCTCTGAGCAATCTTATCGGGTTGAGACATCCCTGCTCACTCCAGAGGGACCTTTACAGATCCCTTCCAACTCCAGCTATTMCATGATTCTGTCATCTTGTTCAGTAAAGGTCACTGAGCTTTCCCAAAAGATAAAAAGGAGCTAAGGGCCAACACAACCTGAGAGTGACCTGACACTGCCACACCCAGGAAAATTCCCAGAGCACCTCCTTGGATGGCAGAAACATAGGAAACAACTCCAAAACAGGGAGACTTTTCCTACTGCTATTGTAAAGCAGAGTGAGAGTGTTAAACCACAGAGCTGATCCACAAACTAAACCCTGTTAACATGTGTACCTGTGCAGTTGTAGGTTCACTCTGACACAGCTGGGACGTGGAACWCGGGGCTGCCCAAGAGCCTGTGGTGCACAGAGGGTGCTCAGCACAGCTCCAGACTGCTCCACTGCATGAGGAATCTTGAAATAGCCCCAGGGTGCAAAACCTTCTGTGAAATGTTTGGAAAGTRAGCTAGTTTTACAAGAAAAAGCCACTGCTCTAAGCAAGAAGAAGGTCTAAAATTAAAATTTCAATGTGTTCATCTTTTCAAAGCCAAAATAGCATCTCATTCGGTGAAAAAAAAATACGCAGATTTGGAAACAATCCTTTTAGTCATAAAATCCTTTCCTAACTGTTAAATTTCACTGTTTTTCTGACACTGTCTCAACCTCTTGCTCTGCTTCACATATCTGTTCCATACATGTTTTCTTTTTGATTGGGTTACACAGAATTGTTTTGAAGGCTGTGTTTTACAGTGTTTTGATTACCACTCGKTGCTGATGTTGCATGGTGTGATTTAATGGAAGCAGCTTTATTTTTTTCCAAGGCTAGAAATAATCTGTCGCAGCTGAATGTATGCGTTCACATATCAAACGGGCTAAAAAGTTACCCACGGTTTCATATCCTCAGGCATGTCATGGAATGACCTCATTATTCTCATTTAGGTGCCCTCTTTCTTACAAAGGCTCCAGATATTGAATGGCCCCGTTATGATCAGCAGAAGCCAAGCTTTCAGGCATGGTGCTAATGACTGCTTAATGGTGCTGTCTGTCAGCAGCACAGCGAGCTGGGACAGCACACAAAGAAACAGTGGGGCTCCATTTAGGCTCCTCGTATAACACTTAAGCCTCTGCACGGCTTTCCAACAACAAAYATCACTTTCAAAGGTGTCAGAATGCAGCAGTGAGTGCATCTCACGGTTCTGTGTGGTGTAATCCTGCTGTCACACAAGGTGAAGAGGCCARACAACATATTTGGGTCTGTTCAGCAACATGAAACCTCTGGAGTGTGAGGGGACTTGCTGGCAAAATGCACAGTTGACCTCTTTTCTAACATGGCTTGATCATTTGATGAATCTCCCATCAGCTATTAGGTCTGGTTAAAAAWKSKTTTTTTTGTTGTTGTTTTTTATTATGTGCCACTCAGGTATTTGTTATTGCTAGGTTCCTCCTCACCTGAGCCCTCTGCAGTAACTCACAGCCACTGCTGATGGCAGAGCAGCCCAGAGACAAGGCCAAGCACAACAGTAAGTCATGTTTTATTTCCACTTTCTAATCCCAAACTGTTACAGTCTCACCCTCATCCTCTTTTTGCTTCCCTGGTATCCTACAGCCAGATGGTAAATGGCAGTTTCTCCTCTGAAGGCTTTGCTGGCCAAGGCCAGTTTTTATTTTTAAAAAGTAGGTTTCTCAATTGRTTTATTTCTAAATAATGTAACTTYAATARGAATAAGATATTATTTGAAAGGAGRACACTTCWTTTKAGGGAAAGCAGGGCTTTTTGTAGGAAAAAATTGTAAATTGTTAGTGAAAATACTAAATCAATGACACTTCTAGTTGRGGAAAATAGCATTTTCTGCTACTTTTAAATTAATAATGTATAACTCTTTGTCACTGCAATGGTTTATTCATTTCATTAGGCTYCTGTAAAACTGTTCAATTATTTAAATCTATCACACCATTTTCAAGTTGMTTTTAAACCAAAGCAAAGCAATGCAGTTCTCTGGAGTGTGTGCAGAGGGCACCAATGTACAGCACTCTTAGATACAATGACCAAAAAAAGACAATTTCCATTCCACTTCTTTTGGAAAGACTGATGGAGCTTCCAACATATGAAACACAATAATGGAATAGTTTTCTGTATTGTGAAGCAGGAATATTTAAACTTGGCTAAGCTTATGTTTATCCTTCTGTACAAATGTTGAAATGGATGGAAATCCAAAGGTGGATCAGAATGTAGAGAACAAAAAAAGCTGYTTTATTTTATTGTGTTCGTTAATACATTTAGGTGATGTATAGTAGTAAAATATGCTGTGTGCATGAATTCTCTTCCTGAAATTACCTGCTATAAGAAGATTAGTTTGTCTTACAAATTTAATTTGCTTACTTTAGGAGTGTATTATATTCCTGATACTTGTGACAATGACGGATTAATTGCAAGCTTGTGTGAAATACCAGACAATCATTGGAATTAGAGCTGAATCACAGGCAAGCAAGGGTATTATTCCAGCCCTATTACAGATTATCACAGTCTTATGTCTTCTTGGAAGATTTTTATTGACAGAACTTAATCTACCAAAGCAATTTTCACTCATCTCATCAAGGATTTTCCYCTTACATATAATCCATTACCTCCCTTATTAAATCTGGCAGTTCTTCATATTCACAATCAGTTGACTTGGAATAACACATTTCCTCTCAGGTTCATACATTTTATTAACCTAATAATTTTATTAGCTCCTCTCCAGCTTTTCTTCATGTTTGTGTGATTTCACTTACATCATTTTAAATGAAAAA